AATTAAATGTAAAGAATTATAGCAACTGCAGGGAAGTTACCACCCGAGAGCTGAGAGAACAAAGGGAATAGAGTGGAATTATTCCAGTTTAGAAACTTGCAGGAGGGTCCCACAGAACTGAAGCTCAGACCTTTGAGAAGTGGTGTGCTCAGCCAGTGCTGATGTCTCCAGGGCAGCCATGAGACTGGCTTTGCAAGTGCTGGATGAACTGCAAACTGGATCCAGTGAGTGCTCCCTGGGTGAAGAGCAGTTGCTAGGTTACACTATCAGGAACAGGAAGCAGACAGGAAGGAGTGTGTCCCTTGTCCCTCCTCCAGCCTTGCAGTCTGCCTTTCCCACCCCTATTGGCAGAGCCTCACGGGGGGCAACTGACGAGGCTGAAATGGGGTCTGCAAAGTCCCAGCCTCAGCACCACTGTGCTGACTGGGAAGGGTGGGGTTAAGAGTTGAGACATGATAGCTTAATAAGTGGCATGTGTACTCAGGTACAGGCGTATGAGCATAGACAGAGATGGCTGCTTCCCAAGCTGGGGTGGGGTGGGGCAGTTCCGCTTCCTGACTTGGGAGTAGGAGTGGGAGGAGAAGACAGAGGGGACTGTGGATGTTTATAACCTCCTACAGCACAGCTTCCACACCTGCTAGTGGGACCCAATGAACGTATTGTTTGTTAACCAAACAAAACAGCAGCTCCTCCCTTGGAGAGTAGGGTGGGGATGGAAGCCAGGCAGAGATGGGAGGGGGCCTAGCTTGCCCCTTTCCCATATCAGGCAGGAGGAAAAGTGGTAGTAGATGTCAGGTGTCCAGCTAGTGCCAGCCACTTAGTAGGCATTCAAGAAATGGTGGCTGGCTGGCTGGTGGCTCACACCTGTAATCCCAGCACCTTGGGAGGCTGAGGCGGGTGGATCACAAGGTCAGGAGTTGAAGATCAGCCTAGCCAAGATGGTGAAACCCCATCTCTACTAAAAATACAAAAATTAGCTGGGCGTGATGGTAGTCACCTGTAGTCCCAGCTACTTGGAAGGGTGAGGCAGAGAATTGCCTGAACCCAGGAGGTGGAGGTTGCAGTGAGCCGAGATCTCACCACTGCACTCCAGCCTGGGTGACAGAGCCAGGCTCCGTCTCAAAAAAACAGAAAAGAAAGAAAGAAAGAAATGGTGGCCATTATTATTCAAAGGAAAGGAAGTGTAAATAGGTTAGGGAATGAAGTAACTGACTAGACTGGAGAGAGCCAGGGGACCTGAGTCCATACTAGGCAAGTGACTTGGAGCAAGAGACTCACCTTTCTGAACTCAGAATTTTCTTATGTGTAACATGGAGATGATGGCACTTGTGAGGACTGAATGTCTTATAATAGATCCTTAACATATGATAATTATTTTGTTCTGTTATTAATTAGAGAAATAATAATATGCTCCATTATTTATTTATTTTGAGATGGAGTCTTGCTCTGTCTCCCAGGCTGGAGTACAGTGGCATGATCTTGCCCTACTGTAACTTCTCTCTCCTAGGTTCAAGTGATCCTCCCACCTCATTCTCCCAAGTAGCTGGGATTACAAGCATGTACATACCACCACGCCTGGCTAATTTTTAATGAAGATGGGGTTTCACCACGTTAGCCAGGCTGTTCTCAAACTCCTGACCCAAGTGATTTGCCAACCTCAGCCTCCCAAAGTGTTTGGATTACAGGCGTGAGCCACCACACCTGGCCAAACTTGTTTATTTCTATTGATGTTCCTAATACCTAATGGAAGAGACTTTAGTGATCATTTATTCCACAACATCATTGTGCAGATGAAGAAGCAGAGGCACAGAAACAGATCAGTAGTGCTCTATGGAGGTTAAGAGTTAGGGCTATGGAGTCAGTCAGACCAGGGTTCGAATTCTCACTGTCCATTTCCACTTACCAGCTAAGTGAGCTTTAGTGAGTTCCTCAGTCTCTGTCAGCTTTGCAGTCCTGTGAGGACTGCAGGACTAATCAATGCCTGGCCTTTCATAAATGATCAAGAAGTGGCACTGGAAAGGCACCATTGTGCTTGTGAGTATGAGAACCCCTGAGGCCAGAGGGTGATTCATCGTGATAGCGACTGTCCCACAGAACAGGCCTTTCAGGTGACCCTAGACCCTCCATAATGCTATTGTGAGAACACTTGAGATTTCACCCATGCCACGGCCAGTTATTTGCTTTGCAAGGTTGAACATGTGTGTAGGGAAAAACTCTCTCCTCTAACCGTAATTTTCCTCCACTCTCACACCACAATAATTGTCAACACAGAAGACTTCTGTGACCAAATGTGTGGGGACTTTTCCCCACACACCAAGCAGCAGATACCAGCTGGGTGTCCTCTAGTTCAGATTCTGACACTATCTACCCAGAGATAGTGTCATATCCCACAGGTTGAGGGCTCAGTCCCCAGGACTGCATACCCACCCCATCCCAACACCAGTTGCAAGCCCAGACCTCCAGAACTTCTGACCGACCAGCTTCAAGTTGGGGGTTCCCATGACCCCCTTTTAGGTTCCATTATTTTGCTAGAGCAGCTCACAAAACTCAAAGAAACACTTCCTTACCTGTACTCGTTTATTATAAAGGATATTGTAAAGGAAACAGATAAAGAGATGCATAGGGTGAGGCATGAGGGAAGGGGCACACCACTTTTCCGGAACCTCAAATGTTCAGCTATCTGGAAGCTCACTGAACCAAGTTCTCTTGGGTGTTTATGAAGGCTTCAAGACAACAGTATTTCTTCTCCTAGGGCATAGAGCCTTAAGCCCACAATCAGAGAGTCAGGGGAAGATTAGAGCCTTGGGGCAGGTGAAAAGGGAACAGGAGAAGGTCAGGCTACCCCTGAGGCCTAACATACTGGACATCATAATAAAAGACTGTATCAGGGCTATGGATGAAAACATACACACACACACACACACACACACACACACATACACACGCATATACAGATATATATAGATATATATATATATATATATATATGTATTAGTCTATATATCTTGTATTAGTCGTTTTCATGCTGCTGATAAAGACATATCTGAGACTGGATAATTTATAAAGAAAAAGAGGTTTAATGGACTCATGGTTCCACTTGGCTGGGGAGGCCTCACAGTCATGGTGGAAGGCAAAAGGCACGTCTTACATGGTGGCAGACAAGAAAGAATCAGAGCCAAGTGAAAGGGGAAACCCCTTATAAAACCGTCAGATCTCATGAGACTTACTTCCACAAGAACAGTATGGGGGAAACCACCCCCATGATCAGTTATCTCCCACTGGGTCCCTCCCACAACACGTGGGAATTATGGGGGCTACAATTCAAGATGAGATTTGGGTGGAGACACAGCCAAATCATATCATATGTATATTATAACACCACAACACATCATCACTCTATTTCTTCTTCCTGTGGTTTTTCCCTGTAAGGCTCATGATGCGTGACCTTGTATCTGTTTCCTGGGGTTTTCTGGAAGCTGAATAATGGAAAGAGTCCCTGGAACCCAAGAACCTTGGGGAAGCTAATAAATCAACCTTCTCAGATACCAGATCCTGGCATATTCTGTGTACTGCAGCAATACTAACCCAGAGGATGCTGGGACTGGAGGCTGGATCCCTGCTTTCAGAACTCAAATTGTTCCTGTTTTAGTCAACTCCTAATTTTTATGCACCAACTGGGAAAAATGATAACATGAATAAAAGGAGCCAGCTGGTGTTGATTGCTCTTCACTCTAAAACTCCAGGAGGCATAAGAGACTGTATTTTAAATCTCATTACCTCTCACCTGATTTCTTTCTTCAATATGATGAAATTACAAGATGGTTCAAAGGCTACCTGCCTCAGGAGAGGGACAGTCTGCCTGGATACTCCACAAACAAGACAGTACTTCCAATTACTATTTACTTAGCATGTGCTTTTTACCAGGCATTGGGCTAAACTATTCCCTTGTAACATCTCATTTTCATCCTCATAGAAACTCTATGAGGGAGGAGTGTGTGTGTTTTTTCATCCACCTGCATTTTATCAATCGAATCTCAGGTGCAGAAGGTGGTATGAATCATACTTCTCCAACAGCTCATTGTACTTTATCGTAATTGGTCTGTGCAAGACCCATTCTTACGTTAGTTAGTTTATTCCCTTTTATTCATGTACCCCATGTTCATTCATCTCCCTATAAATAAAATAACTGGTCCATTATGTGCAATGTGCATCTTTCCCTCTGTACATGTTCTTATGAAATGTACATTGTGGTTTTGTGTGTATCAATATAGTTGATTGATTAAAGTAGTATTTCATTATGCTTCTGACTTTTTAGTAACCGTTCCAATGGAAGTACTATGTTTTTAAGACCTACTGGATAGGTTGCTATGGGTTTATTTCATCTATTCCTTCCAGTTGTGTTGTGCTACTCCATGGCATGTGCCCACCACGGGTACAGATTCTCTTGCCTCATAATGGGCAGCCAGACTCATTGGTATCAAACTTCCAACGGCCACAAAGAAGCAATTGCATCCCCGTATGTCTCCTTGGTGGACTGTGTGAATTGCTTTGGGGTATGTAGTGAAGAGTGAAATTACTACTTCATAGGGTATACATAGATTCATAGATTTACTGTGCCTAAGTCATGCCAAAGGTAGGTGCTGTTATTATTCCCACTTTACAGATGAGGAAACTGAGGCTTTGAGAGTTTTAGTAACTTACCCAAAGTCACATAGACGGTAATTAGCAGAACTAGGATTCAAGTTCAGGCAGTCTTACTCCAAAACTTCTGTTCCTCATGGCTGTGCCATCATTATTCTCTGAGTGTTTGAGATGTGAGGACATTTTGTGAAAAAACATAAAAGTCAATCTCATTGTTTGGTGTTCTAATATTCTTAGAACCTAGAAATCCAGGTGGACTTTTTTTTTTTTTTTTTTTTTTTTTTTCACAAAGCACCTACTTCTCCCAATAGCTGCATAGTAACTTTTTTCTCTGACTTTTGTATTCTGTGGGTCTGCAGCACTAAGAGCTGTTTTGATCATCCAGAACTGGTACCGTGGTTACAAAGCTCGACTGAAGGCCAGGCAACAGTATGCGCTCACCATCTTCCAGTCCATCGAATATGCTGACGAACAAGACCAAATACAGGTCTGTTTTGCAAACTTGTCTCTTCTGTTGGTAAAATGATTCTCTTTACCCCTTGTTATTGAAAGAATGAAAGTTTGAGTCCATTTTAAGCTGAGGAACCTTGGTGAAAGGCTTTAACGGAACATATCATGACATTGTCTTGGAACTAGTTATTAAGAGAGAGTATGCTTTGGGAAAAGTGTTTTTCAGTTTTGAAATTAAGATTTTTGAGAGGGCTGCCCAATATCTGGTTAACTAATAAAAATAGCCTTATTCTACTTTGGGGCAGATGCCCTAATAGGAAATGAAGTTGTCATTTTATGAAAGAAAAAATACTTCAAGGAGTTAAAAAATGGTAGAATTTCCTAGGAACAAATCTCTGGAAGCTCTAGAAGAAAATATACATGGGTGAGGGAGGCCCTTTATTTTTTTTTATTTTGATTTGGAGTTTTGCTCTCGTAGCCCAGGCTGAAGTGCAATGGCATGATCTCGGCTCACTGCAACCTCCGTCTCCCAGGTTCAAGTGATTCTCCTGCCTCAGCCTCCTGAATAGCTGGGATTACAGGTGCCTGTCACCATGCCCAGCTAATTTTTGTATTTTTAGTAGAGACAGGGTTTCACCATGTTGGCCAGAATGGTTTCGAACCCCTGACCTCAGGTGATCCACCTACCTCGGCCTCCCAAAGTGCTGGGATTACAGGCATGAGCTACCACACCTGGCCGAGGAAGGCCTTTTTAAAGAATACGTAAATCTAGTTTTAATGCTCATTAATTTTAAAAAAGTACTTTTAACAATAAAAAGATCTTAGATCTTAGAAAGATCTACAATATAGTTGCTAATGAAAAAATCAGCTTATAAAACAATATGTAGAGTTTATCCCATTTATGTGAAGGAACATGAAACATACAGGAAAAGTCTGGAAAAAGGTACACAACAAATCGTTTACAGTAGTTCTGAGAACAGGAGTGGTATTGGTGGGGGTGGGTTCAGTTGTTAAGAGGGACTTCTCATTTTTATTTGATATTGTTTGTAGTTTTTAGCAATCATACATCTATGTATCACATTATAATCTTTAAAGATAATTAAGAACATTCCAAAAATAATTAAATTCCTGGATTTATTTTTGGCAGCTAGATAAATGAAATACTGTGATTCAATCAGACACTCCCTTTGTCTAGATTAGGAAGCTCAGCATAGGCGATCTTTTTAAGCACTGTAGAATACAGTGATAAATATAAAAGTAGAGTGAACCCCAAATTGGTGTGCTTTAGATACAAACATTCCATCACCAGTACGTCATTTTCTATTGATTTTTTATTGAGATGTAATTCACATACCAAACAATTAAACCATTTAAAGTGTGCAATTCAGTGGTTTTTACTATATGTACAGGGTTGTACAAACATCCCCACAGTCAATTTTAGGACATTTTCATTTTCCCCATCCCAAACTCTATACCCATTAGCAGTCACTCCCCCATTTCCTTCCCCTAGTCCCTGGCAACCACTAATCTCTTTTCTATTTCTATGGATTTGCCTATTCAGGCCATTTCATATAAATGGAATCATATAGTATGTGGTCTTTTGTGTCTGGTTTCTTTCTTTTTTTTGAGACGGAGTCTTGCTCTGTCACCAGGCTGGAGTCCAGTGGTGTGATCTCAGCTCACTGCAACCTCCGCCTCCTGGGTTCAAGCAATTCTCCTGCCTCAGCCTCCCAAGTAGCTGGGACTACAGGTGCATGCCACCACACCCAGCTAATTTTTGTATGTTTAGTAGAGACAGGGTTTCACCATGTTGGCCAGGATGGTCTCCATCTCTTCACCTTGTGATTTACCCGTCTTGGCATCCCAAAGTGCTGGGATTACAGATGTGAGCCACTGCACCCGGCCTGGCTTTACTTAGCATAATGCTTTCAAGCTTCACCTGTGTTGTAGCATGTATCAAGACTTCATTCCTTTTTATGGCTGAATAATATTCCATTGTATAGATGGACCACATTTTGTTAATCTTTTCCTCAGGTGATGGATCATTTGGGTTGTTTCCACCTTTTGACTATTATGAATAGCGCTGCTGTGAACATTTGTATGCAAGTTTTAGTGTGAAGATGTTTACAGTTCTCTTGGTTATAGACCTATGAATGAAATTGCTGTGTAATGTAATAACTTTGAGCTTAACTTTTTGAGGAGCTGCCAAACTGTGTTCTAAAGCAGCTCCATCATTTTGCCTTCCCACCAGCAGTGGATGAGGGCTCCAGTTTCTTTACATCTTTGGCAACCCTTATTATTGTCTCTTTTTGATTATAACTCTCATAGTGGGTGTGAACTGATATCTCATTGTCGTTTCTATTGACTGTTAATTGACAAACTTATCAACAGCATTAAAATCGTACATTTTGATAATTGTATGGAAAATCTTCCTTCTCTCAGTTCCCAACTGCCAGATCTACCCCCAGATTGATAAAGTGTTTACTTTTCATGAGAGGCCAGCCTTGAAAAAGAAGTTATTTGTGTTGTACAAACGCAGCTCTCTGGTGGTCATAGAGCCAGTACCCAGATCATGGCTAGAATGCTGGTGGATTTCCACCTTTCCCTTCCTTTATCTCCAAAACATATTTGATATTTAAAAATATTCCTTAACTCTTAATCTCACCACCAAAAACAAAAGAAGAGATTATAATGAACAAAATTTAGTAGCTGTCTCAGGTTGGCTTTCCTAGAAGCAGAGGCTGAGACAGGGATTCTGGTACAAGTGACTTACTGATGGTGTGTTTTCAGGGAAAGCTTGTAAGGGAGTGAGAAATGCAAGACAGGACGGGGAAGAAGCTAGGCCAAGATGCACTTTTTGAAGTCTGACCTCAGCCTGATCCCATCTGGAGCTGTCAAGTGTGCGATGCACTAGAGTTTGTCCCTGGCAGAGGCAAGGGAGGTGGGGAATGGGCCATTACACCCTTACTTCAGCCAGTGGTGGTCTATGGGCAGCCCCACAGGTGGGGCGTTCATGTGTTATCCTGTGTTGCTTGGGATGCAGGCGGTCCTCTGGAGGCAGGCATAGATGTGACCCTTAGCACCTGCAACAGCTGGGATAGGAATGCTCCAGAAGAGTAAGGGCACTCGGGTGGAACACCAACAGCATTTGCCACAGTGGCTGTTTGGCGTTCATTCATTGATTAATGTATTTTTATTTTGTCCAGTTATGCAACTTCTTTTCCTTCATGTTGGAAAACTACACACATATACGTAAGGAAGAGATAGGTAAGTAAAAAGTCTAGTCTTTTCAAAAGTAGTCATTAAATATTGAATTGTCCTCATCAAGAGCTGTAAATTCTGAAGATGGGAGAACACTAAGAAATTTAAAAGATGCCTTCCTCTTTTGTTTATGTGACACTCAAAAACTGGCACATCGGTTCAAGTGGCCTTTTTCCTTCTCTGGATGGTGTCAACTAAATTGGCCATTTAGTTTTTTCACTTTTCCAAAAACTGAATTCGAATTCATTCAATATTCCACTTGCTAAATGCCTTCTCTGAACTACAGTCTACCAGTGCACAACAGGAGCTTAGCAAAGGGAGCCTTATTTTTCATCCACATTCATGCAGCAGATCTGGGGAAAATGGCAGATTAAGCAGTTGGACCCATCGTGTCTGTTTTCTGTCCTCTCTCTCCTCTCTTTTATCTCTCTCTCTCTCTGTCTGTCTATCCATAATCTAGTCATTCTGAAGCAGAGACAGGCAATGGAGTTGTAGTTCAAAAATGACTTCAAAATTATAATTTTTTATAACCATGTATTTCTCCTGCAAATTAAGATCTGCCTGTTATTATCTCAAGACAGATCCCAGACTTAAAGGCTCATTTTGCTTTAATTGGGCCAACCACTTTTTTTTTTTTTTTTTTTTTTTTTGCTGTCATTAAAATGTGTATGGCATCTAGGAGCATCTTTTAAATAATCTGGTAAATACCCTTCAAAGTGAAGTGGTAAAAGAATGGTGTTTTAATGGGCATGATTTGAGCTAAGTGCATATGTATGAAACTAATTAAAGCATTTAATGATCTTTAGAAGCTTTCTGAATGGTGAAATAGCCAAACCTAAGGAGTGGGGAGTGGGTAGAAGTGGGTACTTTGCCATTTATTCTTTTAGATAACTGCAATTCAAAGACAGTTGTTTATGCTTCATATTCTTTGGCAAAGATGTTTTTGAGAGGAAATATGATAATGATGAAATAAAACAGCACTTTCTGCTAATGACCTAATACTTCAACCCAGGTTTACTTCATCAGAATCACATACGGAGTTTCAGAGCCACAGATGGCTGGGTTCCAGCCCAGAGATGTTTACTCAGACTGTTTTTTTAGTCTGCATTTTTAAAAAATCTGTAGGTGATTTTAAAATACAAGAAAAATACTTTTATTAAAGAAGGGGACAGTGGTTTAATCTTCTTATACAAACTTTTTTTGGAAGTATAACATATAACATATAATTTGTATACATTACAGGAAAGTATACAAATTATATGACTCAGTACATTTTCTCAAAATAAACACATCTGTGTAACTGGCACCTGGAACAAAAAATAATACATGATCAGAGCCACAGAAGCTTCCCATCCTGCCTTCTTGTAGCACTCCCCAACCCCCACTTCATTGCATAACTGCTTTCTTGACTTCTTTTTTTTTTTTTTTTTTTTTTTGAGACGGAGTTTCGCCCTTGTTACCCAGGCTGGAGTGCAATGGCACGATCTCGGCTCACCGCAACCTCCGCCTCCTGGGCTCAGGCAATTCTCCTGCCTCAGCCTCCTGAGTAGCTGGGATTATAGGCACGTGCCACCATGCCCAGCTAATTTTTTGCACTTTTTAGTAAAGACGGGGTTTCACCATGTTGACCAGGATGGTCTCGATCTCTCGACCTCGTGATCCACCCGCCTCGGCCTCCCAAAGTGCTGGGATTACAGGCTTGAGCCACCGCGCCCGGCTGCTTTCTTGACTTCTACACCCTAGATTAGTCTTTGAACTTCTTTATATAAATGGAAGCATATGGTATATACTCAGTTGAGTCTGGCTTTTTTTTTTTTTTAAATGTTTTGTTGTTGTTGTTGTTCTTGTTGTTGAGATGGAGTCTCGCTCTGTTGCCCAGGCTGGAGTACAGTGGCACAATCTCAGCTGGCTGCAACCTCCACCTCCCAGGTTCTAGTGATTCTCCTGCCTCAGCCTCCCAAGTAGCTGGGATTACAGGCATTTGCCACCACACCTGTCTAATTTTTGTATCCTTAGTAGAGGCAGGGTTTCCCCACGATGGCCAGGCTGGTCCCAAACTCCTTACCTCAAGTGATTTCCCGGCCTCAGCCTCCCAAAGTGCTGGGATTACAGGCATCAGTCACTGCACCTGGCCCTGAGTCTGGCTTCTTTTGCTCATCATTACATTTGTGAGAATCATCCTTGTAATTTGGTCATTTTTATTGCTGAATAATATTCCATTTTACTGATATACCATTATTGATCCATTTGATTGTGTATGGGCATTCAGGTTGTGTTCAGATTGGTGATTTAAATGGTGGTACCATGTACATTCTTGTACATGTCCCTTTTGGTAAAATATGTATGCATTTCTTTTGCTGTATACTCATTTTTCGTTATCTATTGCTACCTAACAAACCACCCCCACATTTAGTGGCTTAAAAACAACAGCCATTTTATTGCCTGTGATTCTGTGGGTCAGGCATTTGAACAGGGCTTGCTGGGAGCAACTTCCCTCTGTTCTGTGTGTTATCAGTCGAGCTCACTCATCTAGCTGGACTGGGCAGGAAACATCACATGGTTTTAATCACATGTCTAGGACTTCGGTATTGGCTATTAACGTGGTTACCTCGCAGCCAGGTGCAGTAACTCATGCCTGTACTTCCAGCACTTTGGGAGGCCAAGGCGGGTGGATCACCTGAGGTCAGGAGTTCAAGACCAGCCTGGCCAACATGGTGAAACCCCATCTATAGTAAAAATACAAAAATTAGTTGGGTGTATTGGTACGCACCTGTAATCCCAACTACTCAGGAGACTGGGGCACAAGAATCGCTTGAACCTGAGAGGCAGAGGTTGCAGTGAACCGAGATCGTGCTACTTTACTCCAGCCTGGGTGACAGAGTAAGACTCCATCTCAAAAACAAACAAACAAAAAAACGTGGTTACCTCTCTTCTTTCTCTTCTTTATTTTTTTATTTTTATTTTTTGAGACAGAGTTTCGCTCGTTACCCAGGCTGCAGTGCAATGGCGCGATCTCGGCTCACCGCAACCTCCGCCTCCTGGGCTCAGGGAATTCTCCTGCCTCAGCCTCCTGAGTAGCTGGGATTACAGGCACGCGCCACCATGCCCAGCTAATTTTTTTGGATTTTTTAGTAGAGACGGGGTTTCACCATGTTGACCAGGATGGTCTCGATCTCTTTTTTTTTTTTTTTTTTTTTTTTTTTGAGACGGAGTCTCGCTCTTGTTGCCCAGGCTGGAGTGCAATGGCGCGATCTCGGCTCACCACAACCTCCGCCTCCTGGGTTCAGGCAATTCTTCTGCCTCAGCCTCCTGAGTAGCTGGGATTACAGGCACGCACCACCATGCCCAGCTAATTTTTTTTGTATTTTTAGTAGAGACGGGGTTTCACCATGTTGACCAGGATGGTCTCGATCTCCTGACCTCGTGATCCACCCACCTCGGCCTCCCAAAGTGCTGGGATTACAGGCTTGAGCCACCGCGCCCGGCCCCTGGTCTCGATCTCTTGACCTCATGATCCACCCACCTCCGCCTCCCAAAGTGCTGGGATTACAGGCTTGAGCCACCGTGCCCAGCCTCTTCTTTATTGATGGCTGGGTCCAAGAGGGCAAAAAGCTTCATGGTCTCTTAAGGCCTATGTGCTAGAACTCTGGTAAATCAGTCTGCCATACTCTATTGGTTAAAACAAATCCCAAGGCCAGCCGTGAATTCAGAGGGGTTAAAGAAATATCCATCTCTTGTTGGGAGGAGTGGCAGTATTACAGTAGAAAGGGATGTGGACACAGGGAGGCATGATTCCTTGGGGAGCCATTACCATAAAAATGTACCACAAGCCAGGGGTAGAAGTTTGGGGTTATAAGGTTTATACCTGTTCAGTTTTATTAGATTCTGGCAGACATTTTTACAGGATGGTTGTTAACAACCTATACTCTCACCAGTTCAGTTCTTCCATATCCTCACCAACACTTGCAATAGTAGATTCTTTTCATTTTAGTCATTCTGGAGAGTATGTAGTGGTATTTCAGCTTTAATTTTCATTTCCCTGTGAGCAGTTAAGTTGGTCACCTTTTTTTTCTTTTATTTTTTGAGACAGAGTCTCACTCTGTCCCCCAGGCTGGAGTGCAGTGGTGCAATCTCAGCTTACTACAGCCTCTCTCTCCCAGGTTCAAGTGATTCTCCTGCCTCAGCCTCCTGAGTAGCTGGGACTGCAGGCATGTGCCACCACACCCAGCTAATTTTTGCATTTTTAGTAAAGATGGGGTTTCACCACATTGGCCAGACTGGTCTCAAACTCCTGACTTCAGGTGTTCTGCCTGTCTCAGCCTACCGAAGTGCTGGGATTACAGGTATGAGCCACTGCTCCCAGCGAAGTTGCTCACCTTTTTGTATGTTTGTTGGTCATGTGGAGATCTCATGTAGTGAAGTGCCTGTTCAGGTTTTTTGTCCATTTTTCTATTGGGTTATCTGTCTTTTTCTTATAAATTTGGAAGGGTTTTCTGACTATTCTTATTTTATTTTTTTGAGACAGAGTCTTGTTCTGTTGCCCGGGCTGGAGTGCAGTGGCATGACCTTGGCTCACTGCAACCTCCCCGCTGCCAGGTTCAAGCGATTCTCATGCCTCAGCCTCTCAAGTAGCTGGATTTACAGGCACCTGCCATCATGCCCAGCTAATTTTTGTATTTTTGACAGAGATGGGGTTTCACCAGGTTGGCCAGGCTTGTCTTGAACTCCTAGCCTCAAGTGATCCACCTGCCTTGGCCTCCCAAAGTGCTGGGATTACAGGCATGAGCCACTACGCCCAGCCCTAACTATTCTAAATGCGAGTCTTTGTTAGATAAATGTACTACAAATATCTTCTCCCAGTCTTTGGCTTTGTCCTCCAATCATTAAATGCTATCTTGATGAAGAGACATTCTTACTTTTCATGTAGTACGTTTGTTTTCCTTTATGGTTAGTGCTTTCTGTATTCTGTTTAAGAAATCTTTCCCTGATATGAGATTATATATGTA